ATAAGTCAATGCTCTACTTCTACCACTGAGTTTTTACTTTCATATGTTTTATGTTATTAGCTGATATCTCCTTGTTTCAACTGAACTAAATCCTCCAACCAATTCCTGCACAGGAGGCCTGTGGTAATACATTCCCTTAGCACTTGTTTAGCTGGGAAGATCTTTATTTCCCCTAATTTCTAAGGACAAACTTACCAGTGAAATCAAGTATTCTTGGCTAGCAGTTTTTTTTTTCTTCAACCCTTTGAGCGTATTACCCCACTTTCTCCTGGACTGCTGCAGTGTGTCCGACAAGACATCTACTCCAGCGGTACGGAGACTACCTTCAGTGTGGCAATGTCTCTCTGGCTGCTTTCAGTCTATTTTTTTGTCTTTGATTTTTGATCGTCTGATAATGATGTGTCGTGATGGACCTCTTTTTTGTGGAATTTCATTGGAGCACCCTGAGCTTCCTATAGCTGGTCATTATCATCTTTCTCCATGTTTGGGAAATTTCCAGCCTTTATTATCTTAACTATGTTTTCTGGGTCTTTTCCTCTCTTCTGATAATGTTCCCACTATGCCAAGGTGAGTTTCTTGATGACCTACCACAATTTCCATACGCCTTCTTCATTCTCTTTCATCTTTATTTTTCTTTTTGCTCCATTGACTGGATAATTTCAACATCCTATCTTCAAGTTCACCGATTTTTTTTTCTTCTGTTTGATGAAGTTTCCTATTGAAGCTTTGTATTAAATTTTTGGTTCCATATTGTATTTTTCTCTAGTATTTCTGGTTTTTTTTATTGTTTGTATTTATTTGTYAAACTTCTCATTTTCTTCATAAATTGTTTTCCACATTGAATTTAATTTTTGATCTTTATTTTTTTCTAGTTCTTTAAGAAGATTGTCCTGGATTTTTTGTCCGTCATTTCATGTGTCTCTGTTTCTTCAGGGTCCACTATGGGAACTTGATTAGTTTCTCTTTGAAGGTGTCATTGTCCTCTGATATTCCTATAATCCTCTGCCCTGCATCGGTGCCTGCGTGTTTGAGGAATAGCTATTCCTTCTAGCCTTCACTGGTCTTCTTTGGTGGATTGGCATTCCCTGTTTAGTCTGTCCTGGGATTCCGGTTGGGTCAGTCTGCTGCAGCCCTGGCTGTAGGATTTTCTAGTGGAGCTGGAATGTCAACTGTGCTCTGGAGTGGAATGGAATTGCTGACTCTTCTCCCCAGTTTGGTGAGACACTAGCTCACCTCTGAAGTCAGGCAGGGCTGTTGGCTGAGCTCTGGGGTTGTTTCTGGGCATTTTGGTAAGTTGTGTTTCTTATTAGMGAGGACTAAAGTTTGCGATTTACATGCTGGTCACAAAGACTGAGTAAGTTATCTTGGACTGCTCTTCAGGGTGAGGAGATTTAGAGAATGTGCTAAAAAGGTCTGCAGGCACACAGGCTGAGCCCCATCCTACAGTAACCTTAAGTGGAGCACTGAGCTTGGTACGTTAGCCACTTGGCTGCTACGGAGAAGCTGGGTGGGGCCCGATGTCTTTCTGTAGTTAAGTGCAACCTTGATCCTGATTTTCAGCTTGGGGAAGGGTTAAGGCGGATGCTCAGGATTATCTGGGTTGAGGCTCAGCAGCTGAGATCAGATGGGTTCAGTTGCTCCTTTAGTAAATAATAGCTGTGGTGCCCTTGAAGTTTAATTTCCCGTCCAGTGGAGGTTCAGGGAGTGCACCAGAGCTGTGTAGGGAAGTCAGCCGAAGAGCCAACCTTGGGAGTCCTCTCGGCCATATTTATTGCACACAGGGCTGTCTTCTAGACTTTCCGTCAGTTTACCTCTGTTGGCTGGAATGTAGAGCAACCAAAAGATCACGCTGCTGGTCATTTTGAGCCCTACACGTGTCCCTTGCTTCTAACTAACACCAGGTGATGTCACCCTGCTGATACCTCGGCGTTTCCTGTAGACAGGAGAATGCTTTGCGGAAGAGGGCCCAGAATGGCGAGGGAGCCGAGTGTTCACGTCTAGCTGACTCCTGTCCAGACTGTGGGTCTCCCGAGTCCTGTGTTCAAGCTGGGCCTCAGGGAGAGGGTCCATGTGGTCACAACGAAGCCTCTCCGCTGACCCTTTGCCCGTAGCTAATCTTAGTTCTGTGGTCCAAGGAAGCGACTCAGCCTGGTTCTGGAGTCCTGGGGTGTTCATGAGGTGCTCTTGTTTGCAGATAGTTGCTAGTTGGGTCTATTTGAGGGAGAGTGGAGCTGAGGAATTCTACCATYTTGCTGACACCACCTCTAGGGTTTTATCAAGATTGATCCTGTCAATCCAGGAATATGGACTATATCTCCATTTTTGTATCATCTTTATTTTCTTCCATCAATGCTTTATAATTTTCAGTGCACAGACCTTTCAATTCCTGGATTGAATTTATTCCTCAGTATCATTTTAGAGATATTGTAAATGGGATTATTTTCTTGATTTCATTTTTYGGGATAGTTTGTTATTAGTGTACACAGACATTTCTCTATGCTAATATGGATTAAAGACTTAAATATGAGACCTGAAATTATAAAACTACTAGGAAAAAAATTTAAGAGGAAAGTTTCTCMATATTGGCCTGAAAAAAGTTTTGGATTTTGATCGCCAAAAGCAAAGGCAACAGAAGCAAAAATAAATGGGATTTCAACAAAATAAAATGTTTATGCACAGAAAAGGAAACAGCAAGAGTGAAAAGATAAYCTGAATAATGGAAGAAAATATTTATGAACCTTACATCCAACAATGAACTAATAGCCAGAATGTATTTAGGAACAAGAACAGCTCAGTAACAGAAAACAAATCATGCAATTTGAGAAATGGGCAAAGGACCCTTTTAGACGTTTCTCAAAAGGGACCTACAGATGTCCTACAGGCCTGTGAAAAGTTTCAACATCACTGATCATTAGGGAAATGCAAATTAGAGCCACCATGAGATATGACCTCCCACCTGTCAGAACGGATTCTATTCAAAAGACAAGAGAGAACACCCCTGGGTAAGGAATTGGAACAAAGAGGAACACTTGTACCTATTGGTGGGACTGTAAAYTGGTAYAACCMTCACCRTAGAGTATGGACAGCAGCATGTACATTGTCGTAGTGTGGAGTCTGACAAACAATGGAAACTCAACTACCTTATGATCCGTCAGTCTTGCTCCTGGTCTTATATCCAAAGGAAAGGGCATCGGTATGTTGAGGAGGTTTCTGCGTCTCCTGGTTTACTGCACCCTCATTAACAAAAACGAGATGTGAAATCCGTCTGGGTGTCGGCATATGTGCACCACGGGCTCTCCCAGATTGTCCCTGCTGTCACCAGAAATCCCTTTATCTGTGTCCCAGGGGTGTTTGTGCTCTTGTACACATCAGAAAGAACTTTTGGAATCACGGATTTAAAAAGAGTAGTTTTTAGACTGGAGAGGAAAAGAACACTAGCTTTTTCTATTCAGTATGTATTTAGCATCTAAAAACAGGCTGCCAGTCTTTCAGATTTACAACGGATTGAAATATTCACTGTAAGGTTTATCTGAACTAATTAAATTTTAGTATGTGAGAATTAAAGTCCCCTTCAATATTATTTCTTTTTGATAAATATCTGTAATATGCTTTATTATCATGCTTGAGCTGAAATTCTATGAGGACTGCGACTGTAATTTCAGAATGAAATCCAATGGGATAATGGCATTGTTTACACTAAACCTGGCCAACCTATGGAATGGGGCACACATACCCCCTCCACCATCATCCACCTCACAATTACCAACTATCTAGAAACAAGCTCGAAGCCATTCATCACTTCTTTGCAGATTTCTTCCACATCTCTCCAAACACACGAACCACTTTTTCTTTTAGTTGCTACCCATATCCTGTAGCCAGGAAGACARGGACACAGTATTCTCCTCCTCGTCCTTCTTAACAACCTCGGTTTTAAGTCTTATCACCGTAGAGTTCTAAGGGCCTTATCCTCGCCAACTCCTTTACTTGTCCACTTGCGGCCACGTGGGGGGCACGATGGKCCCCTCACCCCACACTTCATAGTTTTTCAGGCCAATGGCCTTCTCCGGCTGCCACTCCCAGCGAGCACTTGAAGGCTCTTTGGGGCCTGGAGTGCAATGGGGGACTGACTGTCGAGGCTGGGCCCTGAGGCTTGAGGTCTTTGTAAACACCTCTGAGAGTGCTCATCTCACCAGATCCAATATATTGATTTTTCTGAGTGATGGTCAAGGCTGCAAGGTACTCCAAGGGAAGAGACCTGTCATGTGCATCTCATGTTACTACTGTTGAATGAAGCAAAAGGGACAGGGAATGAATGAATGGGCAAGGGCGGGGCAGCACGGTCAGGGAGGAGCAGAGGGAAGTACCTGGGTGGTTACAAGGACTTCCTGGCCCCACCTATGAGACTTTGAGGCACTTGCCCAGGAAGACACTGGAGGCAGGTAACTCTGAAGTGTCCAGCACTGTCACCTCCCTTGGCTGTGGAAGCAGCAGCATGCTCAGGTGATGTGTCACCCACTCTGCACAGGATAAAAGGCCTCCTGCCCTGGGCTCCTCAGAAACAGCCTTCTCTGCCTCCGGCACCCGGTGAGTGCCCCACAGGGACAGATCTGCAGCTCAGAGTGTGTGGGGAGACGAGCTCAGACCTGAGATAGAAGCCCAGGAAGAAGCCCACAGGGAGCAGCCGGGGGAGATGAGGGCGAGGGGGAGGTGGGGGTAGGAGTCAGGGAGCCACAAATTGCAGGAGCCACAGGACCTCACGATCCTTTCCCGTTCTTGTTCTGAGCCTGTTGTCACACGGATCCATGTGACATCCTCAAAGATGCCTTGTCCAAAAGCAAGCGTCCCTCCAAGCTCCCACGTCTCTCCTACTGGTCTTTGCTTAGAAATCAGCTGAGTTCTGGGAGGAGGGGAGGTCTGACAAGCAAAGTGGGAAGGCATTGGTCTGAAACTCTGTGCTCAAATGTTTGTATTATTTTGTTCAAGGTCAAAGTCTTGCCAGGATGTCCTTCCAGCAGAACCAGCAGCAGTGCCAGCCCCCTCCCAAGTGCCCCTCACCCAAGTGCCCCTCACCCAAGTGCCCTTCCAAGAGCCCAGCACAGTGCCTGCCTGTGGCCTCTGGCTGCACTGTGAGCTCAGGAGGGTGTGCTGGCCCCAGCTCCGAGGGCGGCTGCTTCCTGAGCCCCCACAGCCACCACAGGTCCCACCGATGCCGTCGCCAGAGCTCGGACTCCTGCGATGGCGGCAGCGGTCAGAAGTTTGGAGTCTCCGGCAGTGGCCACAAATATGGGGGCTGCTAATGACTTGAATCATGAAACTAAGTGAAAACATTTGAGAAAAGGAAGTTCTGAAAGGATTGGCACCGGCCCTGGCCTGGTCTTGCTGTCCCTCTGTATCCTGCTGAGATGTTCCTGGAAGAGCAGAGCGTCCCCCAGAGTTCATCCTGCTGGTTTCCAGGAACTCAGGGGTTCATCTTCCTTTGTGTTTCTGTGAAGAATAAAGCTGTCCTTATTCACTGCGACCTTGAWCACGTCCCTGTCTTTGTCACTCCTGGGCTGACCGACATCGGGTGCAGAAGCCTGCAGCAGGCAGGCACCTAGCAATTCATACACACTCCCCAGTGCACGAGACCCTTTTGAGGGGGTTGTAAGTCGGGGGGGGGGATAGAGTGGTGGCTTTTCACATGGTCACAGTCAGGGGCATGAGTTGGGAGTTGACAAAGAGCCCTGGAACTCACAGGTAATAGGCCTCATGKGCCAGTTTGGACCCTTCAGAGACACCCCAGAAGCTCAGCCCTAGGTGTGGCAGAGAGGAGAAAAGAGGAGAAGCTCCAGCCTCCCTGGTCCTTGATCCTCGGGCTCTTCGAATCTTAGTGCTGTGTGGTCCTCCCAACCTGGGCTGAGACCCCCAGAGCTGTGGAGCACCTGTGTCCCCCAGAATGAAAACTGATGGGAGTGATAAGAACATGATTGACAGGAGTGGTAAGTGATCARACTCCATCAGTGTTTCTAGTAGGTAGAAATCAGCTGAGTAATGTTTCCCATTGCATTTTATTTTAATAGAATGAGGTATCAATTTAATATGATGAATGCAAATAACTTTGTTATCTTTTGACAAGACATTAGCATTGCATCACCATCCTAACTATAGGACTCTTAAGGAAAAAAAAAAACTGAAGAAGACTTTAGAAACTGGAAAGACCTCCCATGTTCTTGGAGAGGCAGAATTAACATTATTAAAACGGTCACACTACCAAGTAGTGTACAGATCTATGCAATCCCCAACAAAATACCAATGACAATCTTCAGCAAACTAGAAAAGGCAGTCCTAAGATTCAAATGGAAGAAACAGAGATCCAGGATAGCCAAAGCAATATTGAGAAAGAAGAGGGATGCTAGAGGCAGCACAGTGCCTGATCTCAAATTCTACACAGCAGTGAGAGGAATTAACAGCACGAAGAGTGATCCAACAGAACAGGAGAATAGCTTCTCCACCCATTCCTCTCACAGTGGATTAATGTGAGAACTCAAAAAACTTAGCATTAAAAAACCAAAAAACCAAAATCACCCCAATCAGCTAGGCATGGTGGGGCAGGCCTGTAATCCCAGTGACTCTGAAGCTGAGGCAGGAGGATGGCCAGTTCAGGGCCAGCCTCAGCAACTTAGGGAGGCCTTAAGCAACTTAGTGAGACCCTTTCTGAAAACTAATAATGATAATAAAAAGGGTTGGGATGTGATTCAGTGACCCTAGGTTCAATCCCTGGTACCAAAACAATAACAGCAACAACAAAAAAAAACAACAACAAACAAAACCCAATCAACAAGTGGGCAAAAGAATCAAACAGACATTTCTCAGAAGAAGAAATACGAATGACCAACAAATAAATGAAAAAAAAATGTTCAATATCCCAAGCAATCAGGGAAACTCACATCAAAACTACATTGACATTTCACTTCACTCCAGTTAGAATTGCAATCATGAGAATAAAAATCATCATAATAGATGCCGGTGATGAGGGGAGGAAAAGCATGCTCATATATTGTTGGTGGGGCTATAAATCAGTACAACCACTTTGGAAAGCAATATGAAGAGTCCTTCAAAAAACTAGGATTGGAACCACCATATGACCCAGCTATACCACTATCTGGAATTTATCCAAAAGAACCAAAATCATCATACTGTAGTGGTATAGGCACATCARTGYTTACAGCAGCACAATTCACARCAACCAAGTCAGAGAACCAGCCTAGGTGTCCAWCCACAGATGAATGGATAATGAATATGTGGTCTATTTACACAATGGGGCTTTACTCAGCCATAAATAATAAGTAAGTTATGGCATTTCCTGTTGTGTTACGGCAATTCCTGGATGGAATTGGGGAACATCACGCTAAGTGAAATAAGCCAGACTCAGAAAGTGAAGGGGCTAAAGCCCTCCATCATATGCAGAGGTTAGAGAAAAATAAAGGAGAGAGATAGGGTTGGGGAATCCCATGAAAATCGAAGGGAGGTCAGTGGAGTATAGGACTGAGAGTGGAGAAGATGGAAAATGGGAGGAATGTTGGAATGACGTGGCCAACTTATGCTGTGGACATATATTCCAGCTGTCCAGCACTGACTGCCAATCATTTGAATGAATCTTCTTGTATGTCCCTCCCAGCCAGGCCTTCAGGTGACCAGAGTGGCAGAGAACATCTGACTGCAAGGGCCTAAAACAAGAATCACCYTGAGCCCTTCCTGAATACCTGATCCAAAAAATTGTGGGAAAACTAAGTTGTTGATTTTTACACTAAGAAGCTTATGGGGTGATTGGTTATGCAACAGCAGTAATTAGGACACCCGCTATTTTTCTCTCATTAATACCRTATCTTCTTCCCTCTAAAGGTATTGGCCTGCTGAGATGAGGAGACAACGGTCAATACATGCCTTTCTTAGCCACCCCCAGCCCACAAAAATATCTATTCATGCTTTAAAGTTTTGTTTCGGCTGGGTTTATTCCCCCTAGAGCGAGGCCCACCTCACAAAGGATGAAAATTGATAATTGACGGCAAGGCAAGAAAATGAAGGTACCAACCTACATTAAGTGGGAAAGTGCGCACTCTAATGGATGTCTGTTTCAAGTTTATCCCCCCCGTGCTTAATTAAAATGTCACCTGGCACATTGGGATTCACAGTACTTTTGTTAGTCACCTTTTTTCCTGTGGACATATTACCTCACAACTCGGGGAGGGAAGGTTGGCCTTGGCTCAGTTGCACAGGTCTCAGCCCACGGCCAGCGGGCTCCATTGCTCTGGGCCTGAGGTGGGCAGACCTTGGTGGTGGCAAGATGGGGCAGAGAAAAGCTGTTCAGCTCATGGCAGTGGGGAATCAGAGAGAAGAGAAAGGAAGGGGCCAGGGACAAGATACTGTCCCCAAGAGCATGCTCCTAGTGACTTGCTTCCTCCAGTCATTCCCCACCTGGTCACAGTTCCCACCTCCTCTCGTTCAAGGATCAATTCCTTGAATGGATCAATTTGCCCATGAGGCCCCACTCTCTGGACATGGCTCCTGGGGACAAAGTCTTCAACCCACGAGACTTTTGGGGACATCCCAGATCCAAATCATAACAYGCGTGAACACTTGGGCTGTTCAGCTCAGGAGAAACTGGGATTCCTAAGGAAGGGTGCATCAGGCTGGGGCTTTTCCTCGGATCTTGGGATCCTTGTTTCCTTTGAAATCACCTAAGCATCAGGATTCAGGTCAGCAGCAGCCCCCAGAGCTGTGGCCACACCCAGGGCCCCAGACTGCTGACCACTGCSGTGTCACGGGAGTCTGAGCTTTGGCGCTGGCATCAGTGGGAACAGCTGCCGCCCTGGGATCTGGGGACAGCGCAGCCCTCAGAGCTTGGAGCACGGCCGGAGAAGGCTGCAGGCAGTCACTGTGCTGGGCTTTTGGGGGGGGCCCTGGGTGAGGGGCCCTTGGGAGGGGGCTAGCACTGCTGCTGCTTCTGCTGGAAGGACATCTCCACTGGAGTCAGTGAGCCTGGGCAAAATAAAGCCCAAATGAAATGTGTGTCAATGCCGAGGTTCTGGCCAGCGTCTCCACATTCTTGGGTTCAGCTGGAGATTCTTTCCTGCTAAACTCAGTCAGTCCTTCAGGAGGAGGTGGAGAAAGAAAGTTAAGACTGATTTGGATTTACATGGACCCCAAGAGATGATTTATCCTGCCTCCCTTCTCTCCCYCCTGCCAGGAGGACAGATGACAGGTCTCCTGGGCCAGCCTCCGAGGTTTCTCTGCACAGGTCCCCACAGGCTATCCCACRACCCAACGTGAACAGCGCCCCCTGCAGGTATCCAGTGCCCCCAACACACAGAGCTCCATCACTCTCCAGGCTTCCCATCCCTTAACCACAGGGAAGGGGTGAGAAGGAGGGAGGACTTGAGGAAGCAGCAAGGACATCTCCGGGAGAGAGCAGACAGGGAGCAGGAGATCCTGAGGTCGGCTGCCCACGGGCTCCTCAGCTTCCTCCTCCTCCCAGTCTGGCTCTTCCTGGTCATGGTCCTGCTGCCCACCACCAGCCCTCACCACCACCCCACCCTGTCTTCCCTCCTCCCTCTCCCTGTTGCAGAACAAACGTGTCTGCTCACCCCTTCCAGCTCTGTTCCTCCCCCCAGGAGGACCTGGTTCTGTGGGGGCAAGAGAAGGCTCTTCCCGAGGCAGCTGTGGGCTGAGAAACASGGGACCCAGCCCTCTGTGCTGAGCTGGGTTATAGAGTGCACAGCTCAAGTGGGGGTCCTTGTTCCAACGCCAAGAGGCAGCGCCATACTCCCTCTCCCTCCCTCTCTCCCTCTCTCTACCTCCCCCACCTCTCTCTCTCTATCTCTCCCTACACACACACACACACACACACACACACACACACACACACACACACAACCAGGCTTTCAACAATGTGCTACACATATTTTGAGAAATGACAAAGGGTAAACAGGAAATTTCAATGACAGTCCCATTAACCATGGCTCAAACCCTCTGGCTGCCATCCTAATTTTATTTACCCATTCAGCTCGCACACCCTGAATTCAGAACACGTCCTTTGTGGTTACTGGCAATATGGAAATAAACAGGATGCGTTTCTGCCCTTGAGTAGCTCACAGCCTCACAGGAGGACAGACAACTGGACATTCAGCTCTGATCCTATGAGCTAAGTGGTGGACACAGGTGCTTGCCAAGGCCGCAGCCCTGGGGTCACTGCCTGTGGGTGTCCACCACCATGGCTTTGTCGAAGCCCCCGGGAGGGAGGTAGTGCAATCAGCTCTAG